GAGTCCATGGATGTAACACTCTTAGAATAGTCAAACTGGCCAGGAACTGAGGGTAGGGGAGGGAGGTGACTACAAAGGAGCAGCATTAATTTTTTAGAGTAATAGAACTCTTCTGTGTTTAGATCACAGTGGTGATTACATAACTGCATACATCTGTAAAAACTTAGCACCAAAAAGAGTAAGTTTTACTGTGTTTAACTTTAAAAATAAAGGACAGAAAGTATGCAAGCATTTGGCCACATTAGTGTCCCTCTTAAAACCTTTCCAAGGCTCCAACAACTGTTAGTCCATAGTTCTTAGCATGGAGCCACAGCCTGGTCTTCCTTATCTCTTCCTATGGTCCTTATTCCATATTATTTGCAATTCCTGCATATTTAAAGCACTTGACACAGTACCCAGCATAGGTGCTCAGTAAACACAGGCTCCCCTCCCTTGTACATCTTTCTGCATTCATGTTGGCTCTTCCTCATGAAGGCTCTTTCTACTCCTCACCACACAGCTAATTTGCAGGCAATACGACGTAGGCAGTACCTTATCCTGAAAGGTCTCTCTGACTCACTTCTCCCTCTCTCTGCCCCTCATAACTAGTAGGGTCTGGTGCCTCTCTTCTGAGCTTCTTTGGGGAGCTTGCGGATGTACAGTAAAGGTTTGGGGATGTTCAAACCTTACACATTTTGAAGGAAGGGCTGGCCTTCAGCTGGTTCTGGAGAGATTGACTCTAAGTCCCTGAAATATCCTGTCTGATAAGAGTGGCTTTGTATACCTGGGGTCTTCAACCACCCCAGATACTTTATACAAACAATGTGATTTATGATGGGGGTTCCTGGGCAACACTCGATCAGTGTGGCCTCTGGAGAGCTTGGAGACTAAGCAGCTAAGGTCAGTCTTGTGGACACTATGTGTCTAAGTAAATGACCTCCAATTAAAAACCCTGGACACCAAGGCTGTGGCAAATTCTCCTGGTTGGCAATACTTCCTGCATGTTGTCACACACTGTGGCTGGGAAAGCTAAGCATGGTCCACATGGTTCCATGGGAGAAAACATCTGGAAGTATGCACCTGATTTCTCTTATATACGCTGCCCTACGCTCCTTTTGCCTTAGTTGGTTTTAGTCTGTAGGCTTCCACTGTAATAGACTGGAAACATGAATGTAACAGCTTTTCTGAGCTCTGTGAGTCTTTCTGGAGAATCATTCACTGAGAGTGGATGCCACTTGGGCTTGGGCACCAAGGGCTTGGTGCTCCTGACTCACTGCATCATCCCATTGGATTTACTTCTATTAGAGCCCTTATAGTGAACTGTCACTGTCTGTCTTGCTCTGCTGTCATTTATTTAAGGGCAAGATGTATGATTTGTATGATTTGTCTACCATCTTTAGTGCCTAGTACTGTGCTTGGGACATGCTAAGTGTTAAATAAATGTCTGACCACAAGACAGACCTAGCCTTCTGAAAAGTCTGATTCCTATCTGAGTCAGTAAAATGCCTCAGAGACTTGAAGAGGAAATGTGGGGGTAGCAAGCATTCTCTCCCAAGAAGGAATCATATGACATTAACCATGCAAAAGCACAGGTAGTGAAAACTGTCAACCCCAGAAGCCTGAACTGAGAAATAATTCTGTCAGATAAGACATCCAGAATAGAAATCTGAAAAGCCTTAGCCCAGCAGCAGCAGTGTGATAATATAGCTGAAGGCTGCAGAGACTATAGGCACTTGCTTTGGGGGGTGAGGGGTATGAGAACAGTGGAGCAGAAAGAAGGGTTACAGAAATTCCACCTTGTCAACTGTGTTTAATTCTCAGATTCTGTCTAAAAGGAAAGCCTTCTCCACACCAGGAAAAGTGAAATTTCAAAGGAAAATGCCAAGATTGGACATTTAAAATTCAAAAAGTCTTTTGGAAATAAGGAGAATTTTTATCTCTCTGCTAGATTCCCTAGCTGATGTTCTGCTCTGCAGGTAAGTATTGCAATTCTGCCCTCAAGGACTAGCCCTTCTGGTTCTTGCTGACAACTACAAAAATGTTTAGCAAATACACTCCATTACAAAAATCACAACAACAATAATTAAGTTTGCTAAGGATCCTTTACTGGTAATTCTGAATCTTTCTTAAGAGAGAAACACAGTTCAATTAAACACACATGTATTTTGTTTCAGAGCTATAGATGGAACAGAAATACAATATAGAATATAAAAATATGCTGACTCATGGAGGGTATCCACCTGAAATCAATAGCTCTGACTAGAATCATGGAATTTTATAGTTGATTAGAGAAGGAGTCATGCTTTCATTTTGAAAATGAGATAACTGGGATCTAGGAAAAAAAATAGCTGTCAAATAAAGATAACAGCATGCAAATAGCCAAGACATTACTTCAATATGTACCCTCCCCTCCCATGTGCAACCCAACACACCTTTTCTTTATGGACCTGGCACTCCACTGGAGCCTCCACTCCAAACCTGGTAAAGAGCCCTTATCAAATCACATGGGTCCAGGCCTGAAGCTTTAGTTAGACATGGCCTAGCTAGGCAACTTTGGATAAGTTATTGCATCTCTCTGATCCTGTTTTTGTACCTGAGTTGTAGGATAATAATCTTACCTCACGGGATTTTTATGTGGTAAAGCAGTTAACATGGACCATAAGAAGATGCTCAACAAATTCCCTTTGTTCTTCGCATTGAATCCCCTTCCGTGGCAGCCTTTCCAACCAGATCTCCTCATCTAAACCACAAAACTAAAAAGTATTACTCGAGTGCCTATTTTCTTAATTTCTCTCAAGGATGGAATAGCTAGTGCTGTTTTAGAAGAAGAGAAGAAAATTCATGCATTGCATACAGTAGATGTCTTAGGACATTAGGGTTTAATTCTCTCCTGGAATCCAGTTGTGATGGTGTCATGGACTCATAAAACTCTACAGGGTCCATGGCAGCACCGCTACAAATTTAGTATTGAATACAACTGATACAGGGTCCCCCAAACAAGGCAGGGAGTAGAGGGTTGAGGGTTAGGATTGAGGGCAGGGGATCAAGAGGGGATTTAAAATGCCTTCAAGCCCTGGGTCTCTGTGGTTGGTTACTGACCAGCACTCCCTGAGCTCTTTATATGCCTAGCAGTACCTGTGTTCTGTGAGGGGCATGGCATTTGCTTCTGGGTCTCACATCAACTCTTCCAATAACATGTTGCTCTAAACACTGTCCTCCCACTGTAGGGGCAACTCTGAGCCCCTCAAGGAGCAGCCTTCTGGGCCTTAGCTTTTAACTTGCTTCACCTCCTAACACACACATATACACCACCCCAGACCTTCATACCCATATAGCTGTTATCTCTAAAACTCATCCAGGTGGCCTCAGTGCCCCTGGTGTGGTCTGGGGAGTCCCTGAATCTTAAGGTCACCTAATTAACCTGGGTCTCTCCCATTTCCATCAGCTTCACTCCTGCCCTGGAGCAAAGGAGACCTTGGGGGTACCAGGGCCACCTATTGAGCTTCTCTGGGCCTGTTTGCCATTGCTGGGGTGGAGCAGGTAAGCCTTTTCACTCTGAAGTGGAAGGAAAGCTATTTGGGCTGAGAGAGAAAGAGAGAGAAAAGCATCCTTTATCAGTTTCCTTAAAGTCCCACTTATGGTATTATCTTGTTTGGTTTTCTCAAGTTGGGTTCTATCTAAGCACCTCAGGAAGGGAGGGAATGGAGAGTTTCAAGGGAATTGGGATGGGAAGGAGTCAGCTGAACAATTCTGAAAAAACTTTTATTTGGAGGAGACACCAACTTTTCTGAGTTTCACGTGTTTGTTTTGGGACAGAGCAGACGAGAATCATGTAATGTTCAATACAATGGGCATCCTTCACTTTCCTTTTCCAAACCATCTATTTTAGAGCAGGGTCCCAACCGTGTATCTGCCAGTAAGGGTACTCTCACACCCTTGGAAGTCAACCTTTAACTCTACTCCCCAACATGGCCTGTACTCCACCCTTGGGGAAAAGGGGAACTGCTGTCTGTATGGCCCCCGCTCTTCTCTGGCTCTGCTGCTTTGACCAGGGCACATGCAGAGCCTTACCTCCACATCAAGTCCTTGGTAGGACCATATAGCTCTCACAAGTTGCACCCCCTGTGCCATGCACAAGCATAAGGCAAGTGTTACCTTCCCCCCAACCCCCCATTTCTGATTTCTGGGCAACACTTATCTTCCTTTAGAGCTCCCACATCAGGAGCTCAAAAATAACCTGTTGAATGTTTGCAAGAAGTAAAATATAAATAATCCCGTTTACCAGCTAACCAAGGGTAGGCCAACACCATTTATAAAACCAGTCTGGACTTAATTAATATTGAGGGTCAAAGTCTTTCTCTAACTCTATAGCAAGAATTGGGCCCTCTGAATAGAAAAGGGGGGCACTAGGGAAGCACATGGTCCCTGGGACTCCAGAGCAAGCCCATCTCAGAGAAAAGCACTGCTTATTTCAGAGGATCCAAGACAACCCCTTCTCTGGGTGGGGAGCCTGTTCTGAAGCAAGGACCAAATGCACTGAATCCTGTACACCCTTGGCCAGAGAGCCCTCTCCTATCTTCTGTTACAGAGCTCAAAGAACTGCAGCTCAGAAAGCCAGACATGTGCCATTGGTCAAGAATAGTTTGGGGAAGGAAAACAGAGCATCAAGGACCAAATTCTGTTCTCACCTTAAGCATTCAGTTTCCAGTTGACGCGCCCTGCTGGGGATGGGGGAAAAAAGGTCCCAGCTGTAACAGGTGGCCCACTGGTAAAAGTAGGTGAAAGAAGGGACAGGATGGTGGGAGGTGGTGGTGGCAAATCAGAAGAAAACCAGGGAAAAGAAAAGGAATGGGGAGGGTAAATCAATGGGAAGCAAGGAACCAGAAGATGGAAACGAAAAACAGAAAAAGTGAGGGAGGAGTGGAAAGGAAGCAAGACAGTCTCGAGGGGGAAAGGAGAGAAGCAGCAGCTGGAGAGAGGACAGACCCGGGGAGCGGCAGGGGCGCGAGCGGCGCCCTTACCCGCGGTGGCCGAGCGCAGGCTCTCCAGGCTCCAGGAGCGGGACAGGGCGCCGCGCATGCCCCCGCTGCAGCCGCGGCCGCCGCACACTACTCCGCTGCTGTCCGAGTCCGAGCCCGGAGACAGCCCGGAGCTACTGCTTCCGCTGCTGCTGCTGCTAGTGCCGAGGTCGCCGCTCGTCTGCCCGCTCGACTCGCTCGGGCATTGCTGCGCCCTCATGCAGGCGGGCCCGAGCTCGAGCCACAGGCTTGGGGGCGGCTGGGCCGCTAGGGGCGGCGCGGGCCAGGGCGCGGGGGCCGCTGCGGTGGTGGGGCTGCCAGGCGACAGGGCGAGCGAGCCGGGGCCCAGGCCAGGCCCGGCAGCGCCGTGGGAGGGCGAGGGGCGTGCAGGCGATCGCGCGGCGTCCTCGGCCCCATCCCCGTCGCCGCACGGCCGCAGCTTCGGGCCAGCTGACATCATGGGGCTCCGCTAAGGAGGTTTCCGGCCGGGCGCCGCCTGCTCGGGCTATGCGGCCACGGCGGCGAGGACCCTCTGCAGGCACGGGGCGCGCGCCACTCAGGGTCAGGGCAGGCTCCCACCCAGGAGGGCACGGCGCTTCCGCTCGCCGCCAGCTCCCTGACAGCCTAGCGGGCGCAAACCGGCGGCGGCGACCCGGTTGCGGGTTGCGGGTCGCGGGCCCGGTCGGCACGCGCTCACGCACGCGCGCACGCAGACCTGGAGCGGCGGCAGGCGCGGGCGCGGCGCGCGGGGGCACCTGGCCACCCTTGGTCCCCGCAGGGCCGCGCCCCGCAGCCAGCATTCGCATGCGTGTGTTAGGATCATTCTGAGAAGGGGACACCTCGAGGCCACGGTGGTGAGTAAAGCCAGTGGGCTTTTCTTCTGCAAGGATCCAGCTCAGACTGCGGGCAGTGCCTGTGTGTCCATGTGGGGCGGGAACCCAGATGAGAGGCCACACTCATCCAGGGGCAGTGACTCTGGCATGCAACCGTGAACACCGGCTAGAGGGAGCACGCTTGGCCAGGACACGCCTCTAGCCCCTGGCCCAGCCAGAGATTACAGGTTGTTTTTGTTTTTTGTTTTGTTTTGTTTTGTTTTGGGAGAGATAAGGATTTTAGGGAAGAAAGTTGCTGTTTGCTTTGACCCTTCCAGACACTTGTGAGAGTTCTGTGGGTTCTTGGAGTATGCCTAAAAGGTGAAATACCTCCACTGTTCCAAACAAGAACAATAAATGAAGAAGTACCTATATGAAATATAAAATCTGGGAGGTGAAAACAGTGGGAGACTTGGTCTTGGAAGTGAGATGTGTGAGGGGAGTCCTAATATGGATTGATACAAGCTGGTCAGGGCTGCTGACCCTCCCTCCGAACTTCCTACCCTCCCAGCCTCCCACTCCCAGTATTGTTCCTCCTTCAGCTCCTCCAACCCTCTAGGGAGATGGTTGTAAAGTGGCTGAGGTATTAATGATAATGAGGATAAAATGAGAGGTACTTGCCACACACCAGCTGGTATAGGGTGGATGCTGGAAAAGTCGTCATTTTCTCCCCTTCCCTGCATTTGGGGTCCATTTCCTGTGGCCCATCTCCTTCCTTAAGCTATATGTGCTCCTAGGTCTGTACCATAAGGGATACTGCATCATCATAGCTATCTATCTCCTCTCCTTGTAGGCCTTCTGTTATCTTGTCTATCAGATGAGTATATTAATATCTGCAGGTATTAACAGACGCAGGGGCTGGGGATAATGGCATGTCAACATTTGGGTAAAGCACAAAGTTCTATACAAGGATAAGGTAATATTGGTGTTGTTGGGTGTTCAGTTGATGGGCACTGGAGGGTGACTGAGCCAATCTGCGTCTTGAAGACCCCTCCCTCAATTTACTTTACTTGTCTGGGAAAACTGTGTGCTTTCCTAACTACTCCGTATGCCTCCATCCTTTCCTGCCCTTGGGAAGAACAATTCTTCCCTCCCCTTATTCCTGATTGTGGGTGGTTTTGCGAGAAGGGTCTCCCTCGTGTTCTTGTGCAGCTCTCTGGTTGAGGACTCAGAGATAAGCTCTTGTGGGTGAGGAGAAGTGCTCAGGAAAGAGATGGTCATTGCCAGCATGAGACATAGATCAAGAGACATCTTTCCCAACTCATCAGCAAGTCTGAGTTCTGCTCCACAATAAGTGTCAAATTCTCTTTGTCTTTACTGCTACCATGATCATACTGGGTTTAGAAGACAGCGTCAGTTTTTTAACTTACTCCACAGAGCAGCCTGCAAGAACTCCAAAATATAAAGCATACCATGTCATGCTCCTGCCCGCCAGAACCCTCTCCTCACAATTAGCCAGACTTGCAAGATCCTGTGTATTCTGACTTGACCTATGTCTGCAACTCTTATCTCCTCTATTCTTTGCTCTCTGTGTTCCACCTACTGTTGCCACCTTGCTGTTTCTCCTTCTGGCCTCACGGTCTTTGCACTTACTGTTCTTTTTACCTGGAATACTCTTCTTTTGCTTTTCAGGGCATTGGCTCCTCCTCAACATTCAGATCTTAGAAAACATAACCTCCTCAGCAAAACTTCATTTATCCTTCACAGGACTATCTGTCAATGGCTTGTTGTTTATCTCTCATCTGCCCCCATAGACCCTGGGTGCTGGGACCATTACAGTCTGAGTGCTTTGTGTGTGCCTGTGGAGGAATGACTGGGGGCCTGGAACTGAGCAGGAGGCCATCTAGGCAGGAAGGGAGCATTCTTGTTCTTTGGGATCAGGCCCTTGAGCAGATGATGTGTCATCCTGAGTGGATGGATAGAAAAAGTGTAGATAAAAATTTTCCAGATGGCAGGAGCCATGGGCAAATCTAGCCTCTGTAAGCCACTGGCAGCCAGACAGCGAAGCACCATGCTTTTGCTGAGTCCATTTCTCTTTTAACTCTTCCTGAGACTTAGTAAACTCTTATTTGAACCAGCTATCCTGGTCTCAGCTGTACTGCTAAGTTTGAGTATGAAAAAGGGATCCACATTTCTTAAGACCACAGTGATAATGGGAGCTAAAATTAAAGTTTTTTAAAAAAGACTTATTTATTTATTCCAGAGAGAGAGAATGCATGGGTTGGGGAAGAATAGAGGGAGAGGGAAAGAATCCCAAGCAGACTCCCCTCTGAGCATGGAGCAGATGCAAGGCTCAGTCTCACAATCCTGAGATCATGGCCTGAGCCCAAACCAAGAGTTGGATGCTCAACAAACTGTGCCACTCAGGTGCCCTGGTGGCTAAAATTAATACTTATTGCCCAAGGTTAAGGAAGGGGGATAAAAGTTGATTCAGTGAGACTTAGTTACCTCCCTACCATGGGAAGCCCATCAAACTCATCGATTTCTGATATTATTAAAAGAGAGAGGAGATTTTGGTTCTCTTAACATCACATGATAGGTTTATAATTATAAGTAATTACTTCTCTCTCTCTGTGAATTAACAATAATACAGTGTCTTTATCAGAAGGGTCAGCACAGAGGATCACTGATTGAGGCTGGCTCAATGATGTGAAAATAGGAGGTGCAATTGAACTATACATGTAGAAACAGACACAGAATGGGATTGAAACATCTCTAAATTTATGGATTGACTTCCGTCCTGTCTCTACTGACTAACCCTGTACTTCAGTTTCTACAACAGTATTAAACAGAAAGAAGCTTTAAAATCAGAGAGATCTGGGTTCAACTTCTGGTTTTCTCTTACTACTTATAACTTTGGACAAATTATTTAAACTTCTTAAGTCTTTCTCTCTTCATCCATCAAATAATGACACTAACAATATTTTTTCAGGATTATTATAAGGATTAAATGAAGTGCTATGTACATACTCAACAGTGTCTAGAAATGTCTGAAATCTTAGCTGATATTTATTAAGTATATACTAAATGTTAAGTACTTTATATATATTATTTAACTTCCACAATAACTTTACGTAATAGGTACTATTATTGGCCTCTCTTTTTTTTTATTGATTTCTTTTCAGCGTAACAGAATTCATTGTTTTTGCACCACACCCAGTGCTCCATGCCATATGTGCCCTCCATATTACCCACCACCTGGCTCCCCCAACCTCCTACCCCCCACCCCTTCAAAACCCTCAGATTGTTTTTCAGAGTCTATAGTCTCTCATGGTTCATCTCCCCTTCCAATTTCCCTCAATTCCCTTCTCTTCTCCCTATGTCCTCCATGTTATTTGTTAAGCTCCACAAATAAGTGAAACCATATAATAATTGGCTCTCTCTGCTTTACTTATTTTACTCAGCATAATCTCTTCCAGTCCCGTCCATGTTCATAAAAAAGTTGGGTATTCATCCTTTCTGATGGAGGCATAATACTCCATAGTGTATATGCACCACATCTTCCTTATCCATTCGTCTGTTGAAGGGCATCTTGGTTCTTTCCACAGTTTGGTGACCGTGGCCATTGCTGCTAAACATTGGGGTACAGATGGCCCTTCTTTTCACTACATCTGTATCTTTGGAGTAAATACCCAGTAGTGCAATTGCAGGGTCATGGGGAAGCTCTATTTTTAACTTCTTAAGGAATCTCCACACTGTTCTCCAAAGTGGCTGCCCCAACTTGCATTCCCACCAAGAATGAAAGAGGGTTCCCCTTTCTCCACATCCTCTCCAACACACATTGTTTCCTGTCTTGCAAATTTTTGGCCTCATTTTTCAGTTGAACCTAACAAGCTAAGAATGATCCAAGGCCACTCATCTAGGAAATGGTGGAATTGGTTCTAGTGCTCACCAGCGATGCTTTGAACCACTATGTAATTTGTTAATTCCTTTCCTCCTAATTCTAAGCATTCTCTAGACAGTTCTTGTTGGAATATTATCAGTATCATTGGCAAGAGACACTGTGAGCCTACTTTATACAGAGCATAATACTAGTTGTTGGGGATATAATGAGGAAGTTTAAGCAATGGATCTTGATATCAAGTAAGTCTGATATGAGCTCAGTCATCTAACTTGTCTCCTTTAAGACTCTAACTGAAATGACTAATAGGTCATAAAAATAGGGGAAATCAAGTTCTCCTGACCCACTCCCCAGTGTAGCTGGTGAAAATTACTTAAAAATAACAACTTAAAAGCTCTGGATATGGTCCTCGCAGACAGACCACAAATAAAGAAACATCTGTTTAAGAAAATCAATGAAAGTTTACTAAGAGGGGTTAGAGTCTGTGCATTTTGTGAACATTTTGGTTTGAACTAAAAACCACTCCTTCTACCCTTCTTCCTAGCTGAGTGAGATGGAGATTCTACTCCCATGGCTAAAGCCAAGAACATAGGGCTCTCTCTCTTACTATCTCTTGGCTGGAGAACTCACTTCCCTAAAGGAGCTGTGTTTTTCACCCTGTCCCCAACTACCAGGGGCAGAGGGCTTCATGCGATGCTATGTGCATCTGCTGTGCTGGCGACTGGAAGAGTTGTATCTGGCTCTGCTGGCTCTTCAAAGAGAGAAGTGGATATGGAGCAATTCATCCTGGGCACCAACTTGTGGGGCAGATGGTAGCATGCTCCCACATCAGGCTAATTCTTGGCTACTCCTCAGCTACTCCTTCAAACACAGAAAAGAAATACTGGTAAGAGGCGAAGCTTTCAGCTGGAACTCTTTACAGCTCCCTCAGGTGACTGAATTTGTGATATATTTTATACAAAAGCTTAAATTTTCACTTCCTACTCAGCCATGTTTAAAGGATTTTAACAGGAACCTATGACAGTCTCAAGAAAGAACTAGGAATAAGATATTTGGGGGGACTCCTTCTGGGATCAGAACAAACACCAAACCCAGAACTCTGAAACTATTTCTTCAAAGGAGTGAGAATTTAATTGAATTAGTTTGTAGAGCAACTGATGCCCCAAGGCATTGTTGTAAACAGTAGAGCAATCAACTGCTGATCAGTGGAGTTTAAGAGCTGAGTTTAACAATAAAAGGGTCAATCCATCAGGAAGATATAATAATTAAAACATATATAGGCCTAATAACAGAGCACCAAAATACATAAAGCAAAAACTGACAGAAATGAAAGGAGGAAAAGATAATTCAACAATAATAGTTAGAGGTTTTAACATCCAACTTTCAGTAGTGGATAAAAGAACTGTGCAGAAGATCAAGCAAATAGAAGACTTGAACAACACTACAAACCTAGACCTACTAGACATCTATAGAACATACCACCAAACGATAGAGTATATATTCTTCTCAACTGCACATGGGATATTTTATAGGACAGACCCTATGTTAGTCTGTAAAACAAACTTCAGTAAATTTAAGAGGAGATAAAAATAATACAAAGCATGTTCTTTGACCACATGGAATAAAATTGGAAATAAGTAACAGGAATTTAGGAAACTCACAAATACGCTCCTAAATAACCAATGGGTCAAAGAACAGATGAGAAGAAAAATAAGACAATACTTTGAGATAAATGAAAATGAAGACAAAATTTGCCAGAACTTATAGGACACAGCTAATGCATGCTTGCCGGGAAATTTATAGCTACAACTGCCTGTGTTAAAGAAAGATCACAAAAAAAAAAAAAAAAAAAAAAAAAAAAGTGCTGTCTCCAGTGCTACATGGTAACAAGCCCTTGCTGGTGAAGGACTGATGTCTATTCAGATAAGACAATAGAGAAATTTCACCTGCAGAAAAACTCATGGGCAAAAAAAATGCAGATGAATTTGGAAATTAACGGGAGAAAAAGTTTTACAAAATTCTCTATTTTCTGTTTTTAACAAGCTTCTAGAGGACATTGGAAAGATTTAATGGAGATACTAAAAGTGTGATCACTGAATCACAAATCCTAATGAAGGCAATTAACAGGTAGATAAAACCAGAAAAACAAAGAAGAAAAAAAGCCTAAAAATTTCTCCCAAAACTAAGAGGAAAAAGGATTAAAAAAAAAAAAAGAAGAAAATAATGAGAGAGGTACCAAGGATAAAACTGGAAATATAATCTACAGAAAGTAGAAATCTCAGAAGTTTGGAACAGAACAGTTGGAGTAGGAGCAATAATTAAAGAAAATAATGCTTTCTTAAGGTAAATGCAGAGATCCAAGCCCATATTAACTTGACCCTCATATTAACCCAGTGAAATGGGAAAGCAGGAATTATCATTCCTTTTTTGAATAATAATGGAATCTGAAATACAGAGAAACCGAGGGATGTGCCCAATTTCTCATCCCTATATCAAGTGCAGCTAGAGGCAGAGCCCTGAATGCTGACATCCAGACCAGTATTCTCGATAGGCAGACATACCAGGACAAATGTGTCACTGAGATTTTTAAATTTCTTATTCTGCAATAAATTCACCTGTCAATTAATTCAAATGAACATCTGAAATAATAGGACTATGTGATTATTAAGCTTTGACTTTGTAAGGATGTTCTAACTTCAAGGGCCAAAATCATCCTTGAGGATTATTACTGGAAAAATGCTGCTCTAATCCATTATGGCCCCTTCCATGAGCCTCTAAATAATCCCATGACTTAATGAAGAGCTATGTCAGAAATATCTTTTTTTTTTCCCCTTGAAAAGATTCTTTCAGCAGTTGTAAAGTAACTTTTCATGACTTTTCTTATTGTGAATTCATGATCACAACCATTAAAGTCCATTGCATGATGCAGCATAAGCACATACATTTGTGAATGGAAACCAATCATGTCCACCAGCTAATCAGAGCAGCCAGGTCCCCAGGACCAGCATCAGTATGCACTGTGTTGACCTTCCTCAGGATGGCATATGCCACATTGATGCTCAGAGCCTGGCCACTCTGTTCCTATTGGTCCTATATTCCTACTCCCCAAGTCTTGACACAGTACATGTTTGACAGATGTAGCTAGCTTGCCTTTTTAATCCTGTCTAGGGCTTTACCATTCTTTATCCTTCCTAACACTGTATTTGGCTTCCCCTTCTAGCCAGCTTTTAGACAGTAAGATTCCAATCTAATATCTGTACCTGCTCAAGACGTAATACCTGTCCTTCCACCAGAAGTCCTTGAGCATTTTCAACATGCCCATCCTTTCCTGGGTTAGGTCTAGTACAGATGAAGGTTGTGCATGAGGATGCCCTATGCTTGCTTTTACTGGGGCCCAGCTTCCTTCTGGCACAAAGGCCAACCCTTTTATGGCCGAATATGTGATGTGAGGCTGTTTGCTATAGATTTGGGAAATGGTCTCACAGAAGTGGTCATAAAACTAGAGGAAGAGGCTTGTCCCTTAGAAGGGAAAACACTCAAGTTCTATTCTAGATTAGAGACAACTCACTGTGGTTATTTCTTCTACAAATTATATCCCATTACAGGATCCAAGAGGTGGTCCTTAGTTCTACTTAAAATAAACAGAGACAGGTTTGGGGATTCAATAATGGAGTCTTCCTGAAGCCAAGAATTCCCTTTCTCAGGGTGTTAGGGACCTCTTCCTAATTGAAGGGATAAGAGACGTTGTCTTATCTGTTTCACCTTTAAGCTACTTCTGCCAGACAAGTAAACATAGCAATCAACAACACTCTCTCACTTCTTGTTCTTCTTTATAGGACATCGGAGTGTAAAACAGAAGAGAGAGACACATAACTCACCAGTGTCAGGTATGTACTCTGGCCAGCCCATGCAGTTCAATCCTGTTGGGACACTCTGGGAGAATGGTTGTGTTCTTCTATCAAGACTCAAAGACTCTGCAGAGGTAATGGTCATCTTCCTCCAACACTGGGAGAGGAGGAAAGAGGCAGAGAGAAGAAAAGAGATGATATGCTGTCATTAAAACATCATACTTTTTCATTGTCCAGGAGCAGGGTACATAGCCAAAATGCACACAGCTTCAGGAGGTGCCATTCACATCAAAATCCATGAGAAACAAACAAACCATAAAACTTCTCCCAGAGTCTACAACCTATGAGGCCATATGTGGTAATTGTGGCAGAATAGGTTGTCATTCAACAATATAAAATGAGGACTGTTGAGAAAGTCTTCAAACCCCTAAATCTCCCCTAGCTGCTCAGTCACACAGTCCTACAGTTCTCCAAAAGCATAACTGTTAATTTTAACCAAGACATTTTCTTCTAGGAGTACTTAATTAAAATTCAACTGATCAAGTCCCTGACATGTCATAATTATGAGACCTTCCTCAGGATGGCAGACCTTACACTTACCCTTAAAACTGTAAGGACAAGTGTTACATAGGGTCTTGGAAAGACAAGGGATACTGACTCTTTCTATCATCCCATCATCCTGAGATAAAATTGGCCCCTTCCAGTTTTGTCTACTTTGTAAAGTTACTGTATTAACTTTAACATTTTGTTATGTATTCAAGTAAATGTTCCTTTTCTTTTGTATCCCTTGCATGATCAAGCAAGTGTGCTTAGGAAATTCTTTTGTTGTTCCTATGATATCCTGTGTTCTGAACTCAGCAGCAGCATGAAACTGGATAAAAAATGAATAAAAAGGACCTCAAAAGAAGCCCTCTCTGGTCTGAAGAGAGGGATAAAGGGCCCCTAAGGAGTATGAGCAAATGGTGTAAATCTTCTGTGTTGTCTTCCTCCCACCCAAGATTTCCAGGACATCCCATTATAGTGTGGCAGTATTGGCCAGGTAGGCACATAAAACTCTGAGGAAGGGAAATCCTTTATGACCTGAGGAACTGTGGTCACAAGAGCACAGGATGGCTGGAGAACCCTGTTTCATTTTTTTTTTTAAGATTTTATTTTTTTTTAAATTTATTTAACAGAAATCACAAGTAGGCAGAGAAGCAGGCAGAGAGACAGGAGGTAGCAGGCTCCCTGCTGAGCAGAGAGCTGATGCAGGGCTCGATCCCAGGGCCCTGGGATCATGACCTGAGTGGAAGGCAGAGGCTTAACCCACTGAGCCACCCAGGCACGCCCCCCCCCACCGTTTCATTTTTATCTCTCTATCCTCCTGCCATTTAGCTCCAGAGGCAGATAAAAATTGCAAGAAGTGTATGGCAAAGTGGGAAAACAAAAGCCAGCTTTATTGCAAAACAAACAAACGAACAAACAAAACAGGAATGTGAGGGCTCCTGGGAGAAAGAAGTGTCTGGAACAATGCAGAGAAGAAGGAGCCCATGAAAATGATCCCAAAAATGTGTTTATAAGCTATTAGACTTACCCCCAAACTGTGCATGGGTGGATCTGACTCTAAATACTAAAGTCATTGAGTATTTGGAATAGAACATTTTACAGGTTCCAGAGTGGCCACTGAGTGATCCAAATTATCTGAATAGCACTGAAAACACCTTGGAAACAAACTGACATAAGAAACAGCCTCTGGGGCACCTGGGTGGCTCAGTGGGTTAAAGCCTCTGCCTTCGGCTCAGGTCATGATCCCAGGGTCCTGGGATCGAGCCCCACATCGGGCTCTCTGCCCAGCAGGGAGCCTGCTTCCTTTCCTCTCTCTCTGCCTGCCTCTCGGCCTACTTGTGATCTCTGTCTGTCAAATAAATAAATAAAATATTAAAAAAAAAAAAGAAACAGCTTCTGAAGGTCAGTAAGAACTTAGAATATAAGTTGGATTCAATTGCATGGAAAATGTACTAGTCATTGTTCTCCATAGCAACTAAACTAAACAGAGTCTCATAACATAGTACTCAAAATGTCTAAGATATTATTCAAAATTACTTAATATACAAACAACTATAAAAATCTTAATAAAGTATAAGGGAAAGGACAACTGACATATCTCAACACCAAGATGACATGGTTGTTGAAATTATCGAAGACTTTAAAGCAGCTCATATAACCATGCTTTAAGAAGTAAGGGTGAACACTCTTGAAATGAATGGAAAATAACATCAGGGAGATAGTGCTGACACTTCAACAACATGGGAGCTGAAGGAAGAATAATAGAAATAATAAATATATAGATAAGTGTAAGGCTATTTTTCTCCTCTAAGATCTTTAAAGTATGTCCAACAGTTAAAAGCAAAAATTATATTATTGTCTGATGATGTTTTCAGTATATGCAGATGACACATGACAACTACAGCATTAAGGGGGAGACTAAAGGGGACTATATGGTGGGAGGTTTAATATATTCTACTTGAAGTAGTAAAATAACCAGTTATAAAAGTGGACTATGAAAAGTTAAAGATACATATTAATTCCTATAGTGGCTATTAAGAAAAAAAAAGAATGCATAATAATATATAGTGCAAAAAACTCAACCAGTAAGTTAAAATAAAAAAAAATATCCAAATAATCCAAAAGACAGTAAAAGAAAACAGAGCAATGAATCAGAGGAACAAGCAGAGAACATGGTAGATCTAAATCCAAACACATCAGTAATTACATTTAATTAATTAATTAATTAGTTTGACAAATGGAGATCACAAGTAGGCAGAGAGGCAGGCAGAGAGGGGGGTAAGCAGGCTCTCCACTGAGCGAGCCCGATGCGGGGCTCTATCCCAGGACCCTGGGATCATGACCTGAGCCGAAGGCAGAGGCTTTAATCCACTGAGCCACCCGAGTGCCCCTACATTTAATTTAAATACTCAAAACACATAAAGAGATTTTCAAAATGGATTAGAGAAAAACCTTCACAATATCATAAGAAATCCACTTTCAAAATAATGATGAAGGTGGATAAAAAGTAATAGGATGGAAAATGTATGCCACACAAACACTAATCAAAACTTCAAAGGTTACACTGATATCAGACACAACAGAGCTCAGAGTAAGGAAAATTACCAGGAATACAAGAGGACATTATATACTTAACAAGAGGGTGAATTCATCAAGAAGACAGGACAACCTTAAAGATGTATGCATCTAACCGCAGACCGTCAAAATATATGAAGCAAAACCTGATAAAACTTACACTTGATCTTAGCCAAAAGTCTGAGAAGCAATAGTACCAGACACAATTTAAAGGAGAACTAGAATCACCACAATTATGGTTGGATATTTTAACACTTTTACCACAGTAATCAATAGAAAAAGTTAAAAAAAAAACAAAAAAATGAAAAAACACACCAAGGGGACAGGTGAAGGGAACAATACTATCCTCCAACTGGAACTGACAGTTACAAAATAGCCCACCCAACAATCACAGCATAAGCATTGCTTTCAAGTGCACACAGAGTATTCACTGAGAGGCTATGTCCTTGGTGATCATGATAACAGTAACAACAAGTTTAAAAGGATTGAAATCATACAGAATATGCTTCTCTGACCATAATGGAATTACACTAGAAATCAGTGATAGAAAGGTAATTGGAGAGTCTTCACCTACTTGGATTAAGCAACGTACAAAATAATCCACAGTAGTAAAGTGATTACACTTTGAGAACTGTGATCCAGTGTTCCAATTCCTTCAACATATGCTTTTTTTTAATTCCTAGTGTTCTGATTCTTTCAAGCTATACTGCATTATTCTTCATCATACTCTTTAGGTAATCATACCTGTAATGTATCTTTTTGTGTTTACTTATAGAAAGTATCAGAGCATTATTTGACTCAACTAGTATATAATCTCCACTTCCTATTAAATTATCAGAATTTGCTCTTAGACCCCAAACCTGTTAAAATTATGGAATCTCAGACTTAGAATTCTCTAGAAGTCTACTTTAATCCTGTTTAAGGTGAAATGGGCCATGTACGTATTCACATGGAGGCTAAATCATATCTGATTTTTATATTTAAATTATTTTATTTATTATTTTATTTTATAATTTTTTCAGTGTTCCAAGATTCATTATTTATGCACCACACCCAGTGCTCCATACAAAACGTGCCCTCCTTAATACCCACTACCAGGCTCACCTAACCCCCCACCCCCTCCCCACCAAAACTCTGTTTCTCAGAGTCAACAGTCTCTCATGCTTCTTCTCTCCCTCCAATTTCCCCCAATTCATTTTTCTTTCCTTCTCCTAATGTCCTCCATGTTATTCCTTAGTTCCACAAGTAAGTGAAACCATAAGATAATTGATTCTCTGTCCTTGATTTATTTCACTCAGCATAATTTCCTCCAGTCCTATCCATGTTGATACAAATGTTGGGTATTCATCCTATTATACTACATTGTATATATGGACCATATGTTTTTTTATCCATTCATCTATTGAAAGACATCTTGGCTCTTTCCACAGTTTGGCGACTGTGGCCATTGCTGCTATGAACATATGGCCCTTCTTTTCACTACATCTGTATCTTTGGGGTAAATGCCCAGTGTGCAATTGCAGGATCATAGGGTATCTCTATTTTTAATTTCTTAAGGAATCTCCACACTGTTTTCCAAAGTGTCTGCACCAACTTGCATTCCCACCAACAGTGTAGGAGGGTTCCCCTTTCTCCACATCCTCTCCAACACTTGTTGTTTCCTGTTTGTTAATTTTGGCCCTTCTAACTGGTATAAGGTGGTATCTCAGTATGGTTTTGATTTCAGTTTCCCTGATGGCTAATGATGAACATTTTTTTCATGTGTCTGTTTCATATGTCTGTCATGTCTTCTTTGGAGAAGTGTCTGTTCAAGTGTTCTGCCCGTTTTTTGACATGATTATCTGTTTTGGGGGGTGTTGAGTTTGAGGACTTCTTTTTAGATCTTGGATATCAGCCCTTTATCTGTGGTGTCAATTGTGAATATCTTCTCCCATTCCATGGGTTGCCTCTTTGTCTTTGTTTTGTTGACTGTTTCCTTTGCTGTGCAGAAGTTTTTGATCTTGATGAAGTCCCAAAAGTTCATTTTCACTTTTGTTT